AAGTTTGGCAGTTAATAAATGTTTTCACGCCAAAACAATGCCGTTAAATAACTTCTTACAGACGTCTCTCAAATTGTCGCTCTGATCGAGGATGGTCGTAGTCAGCGCTATGCATATTTTCAGGGTGGCCGATTTTTTGCTGGTCAGTGCATTATGAAGAATTTGGACGAAACGTAGACCCTTTCAAAAGTATCATATTTGACAGGGCATGAAAAGCCATGGATGCAAAGCGCAAAATTCTTCAAAACATCCTAGAAAAACGGAAGAAAAGTACAACTGCGTTGACCAATGAAGAAGTGCGAAAATGAAATTACCCCAAATGGATTACAAAAAAAGTTTTAACATATTGCATCAGTAGAGCTTGCCCGACAGAGTGCTGAAGTGTGGTCTTTTCTAATTGATTTCTTTAGGGACGAAATAAACAATCATGGTTCGTCCACAGGCCGATTAGAATATAATCCACTATTCACTAAAACTACACAAGGACGTGACCAACAAGGTGATAGTAAATGGTTGTTTCCCAACGTAGAAAATGAAAATCTGTGCCCTGTAAGGTTGTTTAAAAAACTGCGTACTAAACGGACACTCCATATAAAAATACGTCGCTTGTTTTTTTGTACTAATAAAAATTGGAATCAAAATAGCAACAGTTTTTGGTTTAAAAATGCACCGAATAGACCAAATCAGCTACGTCTGCCATTGGCAATGATACCAAAAAAGTAAAGATTTCCAACCACTCAAATCGATCTACAGCCATCAGTCACCTTTCAGAAGCTCGTGTAAGTTGTCAAGAAGTAATTGAAATTACTGGACACGGAAGCACAAATTCTCTGAAACCCTACTTACAATTAAATCAAAATCACCATTGCAAAATAGTCAACAATTTAAGAAATAAGGGCCAATCAGAGACAACAGCACCAAATAAATCTTATATTTCTGTAGAAATTTCAAATCTGTCTTCAACAGAAGCATCAACAACTGATACGAAAACCAATGTTGTATATATTGTGTTTTAATATTACTTATGGAAAAAGCGATGTATAAAAAATGTTGATTTAAAATTTGAATAAATAACTTATCATGTTGTAGTCGTTATATAGTCTATCCGAACACAACTCCGAGTCCAGAATAACTAATCTAAAATGCAACTCTTATTAGCTCGACGTGTTGCTTCAAAATACGTCTCGTTAATCGTTACATTTTCGGTTATTGTGGATGTTCTCCTTGCATTACTTATGAACATCGCATAATAAAAGCCTTCTATATATTTAGTCCAAGAAATATGAACCACCCTCAGTGTGGACAAAAATCTCTATTATAAAAACAATGTTGCTGACACACGAGAACATCGAGATTTCATTATAGGTTAAATCGTTTAACTTCAATAAGAACTCAGTGGAAACGTCATCACGAATGTGGACAGTTCGGTTTTTAGCCAAGAAAGGGTGTATTTTTTTGACTTTATTATGTTGTTTCTTGTGCATTTAGCGTTAAAATGTAAAATTGACTAAATCACAATTTGTAATTTTATAATTTTTTTTGTAATTTTGAAGCACTATGATTTTCATTTTGCAACTAGTGTCAAGATGAAGAGTAATAATTGAAATTTATGTGAAAATTTTATTTGTAATTAAAGTAAAATGTAGAATTTGTTAAATTAGAAAAACAAACACCATTTGACCTGACCGGACCTGACCTGTACCTATTTAAAATTTAAAATGCGGTAAGCAACTCTCAAAGATATTTAAAAATAAACATTTATTAATATTGTCACCAATTTTAAACAATTTTTGCCTATTGTTTGGTTACTTACCAAGATAAATATATTTTTATGTTATTGCTTAACACAAAGACATTTTCTTTTCTAGAAGATGTCTTCAAAAGCGATTCTTTTCCACTATCATTCTCCTCACTTCCGAAATTTTCGTTCTTCTTCTTTCTAAATTCTTGAAAATATTCCTTGCAAAAGGGAGCAGATCGTTGAAACTTTTTGCAGGATTTAAGATGAGGCACGTGCTCGATTACCCAATCATCTATTATACATATATTACTTCCCGAGCGTAAACTAAGGAAATATAGTAATCGAGTCCATCGGGCAACTGCCAATTTTATATTTTTAGGACGTTTCATGATCACTAAAGTACGAAAAGAATGGTCTCCCATTTCCGTTTGTTTGTTTGTCCGTCTGTCCGTCTGTCTGTCGATGTTTATTAGACAGATTATCCGCGAAACTATTGGACTGATTGTTGTCAAATTTTGTATGTACAGCTGGCTTCACAAAAAACGGGAAAATATGAGCAAATCAGGTTCTCATAGATCAATGAAAAGCAATGGGAATATGACGTTCACGTCACTATCATTTGTCGCGTTTTTTATGAAACCAGCTGTAAGTATATTATGATAATGTGGATGATAAAACACTAACCAAAATTTGGCTAATCATACCCACCAACAATTCGATGACGTCATTTCAAGGATTCTATTTTAAAATGATTCGGTTTCAAATTATCGTAAAAAAATTAATATAGTATAATAACATTTTACCACTAACTCAGGATATAACCGTCCATAGTCTTGCGGCTTAGGTATTAGGACGCGGACCGGCGGTCGATGCCAAATTTGGCCATTTCTTTTTTTTTTTCTCTTGCACTTTGACAATATTATCTTCTCGTACGTTGAGGGGGATCATCACAAATGTTTTATTGACCAAATGAAGAACGAGCCACCCCATTTTCTCGAAAATGTGAGAATACTCAGGTCTTTATATGATAGTGATAAAATAAGTATTATAATAATATTCGGAACATTTTGTTCGCTTATGGCTTAATTAATAATTTTAATCCTCTGTTTTGAGGCGACAAACTCCTTCAAATCAAACCAATTTCTACGTGCCATTCTTCCGAAGTATAAACACATACTTGAAGTTAATTAAAACTAGTTTTTATTACTGAGAGGCCATTTTTTTTCCGTTGCTTATCTGTTGTAAATATATTTTACATTGTCCGCATTGTGCAATTTACACAATTCCTTGCAATTTGGGCGCCCACGGCGCAGAGGCTGAGGGGATATTACATATGCGTTTGGTTTTTACATTATAGATGTTATCATAAAACAAACATCGCTAAATCTAACTTTATAAATATAATTTTTCAAAGAATCGATTTGTACTTCAGGAGCGAAGGAATTTCTGTTGAAATAAATTTCGACCAATTTTTTTAAACACTGTAAAAAGCAACAAAAACGTTTAATTGCTGATAATTTTTACAAACGAAATGAACATCGGGGTAGATGTGAACAACTTCATAAAAACTGTCAGTTTGTTCTTAGTTAGGAACCAACAACACGTTCCGTAAATGTTTACAAGCATGAACACTGAAGAAAACGATGCAGTACCAGAGGAAATCGAAGAAGCAGCTAAGAGAGCTATCCACGATTTGCTTCCGACGAAGGCGAGGCAGTAGTACGAGATCGCTTACAGCCGATGTTTTATTTTTTATTAACAATTTTACTTTTAACACCAGTGTTAATAGCATATTACATAACGAGCAGGCTCGAGGTGAACTAGTTCTCGCGACACAGGAATGTTACTTCTGCCGAGGTTTGTATACTGTTTTATTCACAATCGTTTTAAATAGATTTATCTTGTAAATTGCTAATAAAATTCAACTTTTAACATTGACAAACGTCAAATTCAAGGTAATGGCCGGTGATAATAATGTGAAATAAAATAGGGGCACCAATCAAAAAGTGGCTAAGTCTTGACCACACGGTCTATTTACTTTTATAATCGCTGATTTCCATCTTCCATTAATTACACATATGGAATGTTTTAGGATCGAAAGTGACATTTACTTCCATCTCTTGGGAGGAAAGTAACAGATAAGTGACATATGTCACTTGAAATTGAAGTGAACTAAGTAATAGCTCAAAAAACCTACATTTAATAGTGTTTGTATAAAAAACTATCTTTGAAATTATGTTTTAAACTTATAAAACTGAGTTCTCGAAAAATAGCATGCGTATGAAAAGTGGGTTTTCCATGATCGTGTAAAAGTTAATTAACTCGCTTCGCTCTTTTACACTCACTGAAAAACTACCACTTTTCTTTACTTATTAAACAATCTAGTGTTATTTTATATTAAACTATAATGTAAACCGAAGATACAATTTTTAGATTATTTCACACATCCACTGTAATTAATAAACATTTTGTCACGTTTCCCTAGAATCAATAACTAAAATATGTGTTAAATCCAGCACCGTGTAAATTCGCAGCATACTTCCCTAATATTATTCCATTCCCCCGCCCATAAGCGTTCTCAAGAAGTTCTCAAAGAACGATATCTTAGAATACGTGCTTAGAACCTTATTAAACAAAGTTCAACGCATAATAAATTCTGTACCACTAACTCATGAATCATTAGACACTGAAGAATTTGGGTCTCTACGAGAAAAGAGATTAAACAAAAAAAAAAAAATAAAAGAAACGAAATCTAAAAAATCAGCCACTAAATTTGTTAATTGTTATTGATGAGATCAACAAAGCATGACCATACAAGTGTAATTAAAAAGAAACAAGTTTGTTGAGTTTTATGTGTAGTAAATGTTAAATATCCGTGCTGCTCTTTGATAAATGAAGTAAAAAATTCGTTGTGTCACAATAGTGTAAATTACAGTGTGATTTTTTTTATAAATGGCCGTGTTTAGACAATATTCCAATATTTCATTGATCTCCTATTTGAACCAAATGCGGCACTTCACCATCTGCTACAAAAAGTTATAGCTCGGTCGTGGCAAACAAGAGAAAACTTTTTTTCAATTTCATCAGTTTTAGTTTTGATCGCAAGTGCGGTTACGTTTAGGGAATAAATGAATATTTTATGGTGCACAGTCGATTTCACTTCCTAAATTATATGAAATTTCCGTTTTTGATGATGACATGACATATGGATTCTAACATGATCTCCTTCATCTAACATCAGTTGATTTTTCCATTACAGGTTTGGAAAAGGACTTGATTGATCATGCCGGTGGATGAGCGTGTGGCACGAAGCGTTGCTCTTGAGCAGGCCTACGTGCACGATGTCTATGAACAATTCTACGACAACCCCAGAAGCAAGCCCTGGCCGAAGGTACAACAATTTCTGCAAGACTTGGAGCCTGGTTCCTTGGTGTGTGATGTTGGTAAGATATAACGCTGTAATTACGTGTTAGTTCGTATTATTACTTCCCGAGCGTAAGCGAGGGAAGTATTGTAATCGAATACGTCGGGCGACTTTCTAATTTTACGTTTTTTCGACTTTCGATCACCCCTAGAATACGAAAAAATAGGTTCCTCGTTTCCGTCTGTTTGTCCGGATTTTTATTAGACATATAATCTCCGAAACTACTAGACCAATTGTTGTCAAATTTTATATGTATATTAAGAATATCATGTAGATGGTAAAACGCTAACCAACATTTTTCTAATCGTCCCCATCAACAACGTGATGACATCTCCTTATAATTTTATACAATAAGCATAAGTTAAATTTCATAGAATATTATATTCCCACACTTGTGTTTTGTGAATCCGCTCTGCTCTTGTTTATTATTACTATTAAGTTAGGACCTACCACTGACCCGGAAATGACCGGCATTGAGCCAAGACTTCTATAATTACGGGTACTAAGACCAAGTAATGCTACTATTCTGTAATCTCATCACATTCCCAAAAGCCTAGCGTAACTACTGATCATTTATCTGCGCATCACTTGAAATGTAACCTATTCTAACTGAGATGATCAGACTGTTCGAGAAAACTACGAACAATAACACATGTTCCTCACAAAACAACTTTTTGCATTTTGACAATTATTGAATCATTTAAGTGTAAATATTTCAAATTCTCAACTAAACTATTTGGTACTACACCTACATTGGAGATAACTAAAGGTAGAATTGAAATTTTCTCAAGATTCAGCATTGCTTTCATTCCTATTGATAATAGCAGATATTTTGAAATTTTGGTGTGGTGTGTTTGTACGAGTATTATGTTGTGTGTGTTAGGAACAGCAATGTCAATGAGATTGGCTTTATTGGTGTGTTTCTTTATAAGTATGATATCTGGTCTATTGACTGTAATGTTTCTGTCTGTAGTATCTTGAACCAAGTTTAGATTTGTTACTAAGTCTTTGTGAATGATTTTGGCTGCGTTGTAGTCAGTTTGTGCCAGTATACTATCGGATGAAGTTATGTGCTGAATCTTTTTGGGTTTTTCTGTACAAAGTCGATAACAATCGCATAAACCGCATAAACAATATTTGGGTTTTTGATTATGTATTTTCTGTAATTCTTGGTATGACTGCTTGGTCTTAAATACCAAACAAAAACCCTTCTGTTTCATCATATAAATTTGATTTTCTTAGCCAAGTCAATGATATTTTCTTGCTGATGTGAGTTTCTTCTAGTTCTTTGAAGAATTTTCCATGCAGCTGTTTTTGTATCAGCCCACTTATTATGATAGATTGTGGGGTGTGGGGATTTTTTCGGTATTGGATAGATTTAAGGGTGTGTGGTTCAAGTGTGCCCTTGTTGGTGCGAAACAATTCGTTTCTGCCTGCCCGTCTCAGGAAATATTTCTTCAATTCCGAAACTTGTCTCTTGTGTAAATTTTCTAAGTTCTGGAATCCCCTTCCTGTTGGTAATGAAAATCTCTCAATTGATGACTTCGGATAATGTCTTCTATATTGTGTGAATGATGTTCTTGTTGAGATGCTTAAATTTTCCAAATCAGTGTTTGACCATTTAATTATTCCAAAAGAATATGTTAGCAGTGGAACACGGAATATATTTACTGCTTTGATTAAATGATATTCTGATTAAAAACAAAGTAGATTGTATGTGGTCACTTGGCAAGTTGAATTTCCGGATTCTTAAATATAATTCGCGTCAACACGATATCTTTTACTGCCTCCGATGTAATAGTAATACCCTTATAAAATTTCCAGTTATTTCTGGCTGCAAAGCCTGTAATAGAATATTTCATAACTGTCACAGATAATTTTCAGTTATTACTAGTAATATATGTAGTAACAATATATGGTATTCTTTATCTATTTCTTAGTATCTTAACAATTCCTTGATTAATTAATTTTTCGTTTTGTTTTCACTTAACTTTTTATGCACCTTGTCTTTCCCTGTAATTGGGATTAACCCGTTGGGAAAGATGTCAATAATAATATGAACAATAATAATATTAATAATAATAAAACGCTAACCAAAAGTTGGCTAATCATTTCCACCACCAATAAAATGACATCATCTCCAAAATTGGCCATTGTAATTTTCTTAATTTTACAAAATACGATATTGTACTTGTGATGTATGAATCCGTACTGCCTTTTCACCCTATAGATCTATAGATTTAACTTTGAAACTGCAAAACGAATGATCTGAAATCTTGTAAATGTTTTAAGGTTATCGTAATCATGATAAACCGTTAACAAAAAATTGTTCGTTTATACACTCCCAAAAAACTGATGACGTCATCTCGAATTTTTTTCGATTAAATTTTATGTAAAATGTGCAAACTATGATGACTCTACGTATACTTGTGGTTTACCAATGGACGCATAGTTTTTAGAATAAATTACTTATACAGGATTACTAAAAAAAATCATGAGTGGCTAATTTATTGTATTGATTAACTTAAGAACGACTTGCTCCATTTTCTCGAAAATTTGGCAATCAGTACTTCTATTATTAGCATTACACTTCATCTATCCAATATGGTCCTTGCAAAAATGTTGATGATTGAAAATTTGGTATTGGCAAAACTCACTTGCAATAAACGCGTATCAGGTTTCATTATCTTTACTTTAACATTATATACATACCGTCGCGAGCAAAAACCTCTGGTCGTCAATGTCTTTTTTTTACACATAATTAAATGGCAAACACTGACACTGACGACGAGAATTTTTTGCTCGCGGTGGTATGTTTATTTTAACTTGTAAGGATTATCATAAAAAAATAAAATTCGCAAAATCAAATGAGTTTCGAAAAAGCTGGGGCTGTACTAGGGTGAAGGAAGTTCTGTCGAAATGACCTTTGATCATTTTTTTTAGTTTGCTTATTAAATGCACAAATTTAGAAATTGAAATTAAGATTAAAATGTTTTGAAGGCGAAGAAACTTGAATTTTTAGTAATTATTTAATTAATTAATTAATTAATTAATTAATTTATTTATTTATCGAGAACGAATAACTCAAAACAGTATACAAAATAATTATGTTTTTTTTTTAATATATGAATAGAACTTGTAATAATTTATACTTTGTTCTATTCGAACAAAAGTTTGTTTACTTTCTACAACAATGAAAAAGAAGTACCTAACTAAATCAATACGTACGGAGTCGTAAAAAGTGATTATTGCTCAGTTCAGATTAAGTTGGTAGCGTGTAAAACCGCACTGTAAAACTGAGGATTTCACGGCGGCGAAACTGTCACTTGCTAAATATGTATGCAGTGATTTTCTAATACATCTGTACGCGAATTCTGTGTATTTTACCAAACGTCTTTGTTATTTTGTATCTATTGTCACTAGGTTGTAGATTACACACCATAATTTGGCAATAGTCTTTTTCTTTCAGTAATTTTTTTAATCTCGAACTATGTTTCGGACTCACATTAACGCAAATGATGGCATTATTTGACAATGATGGCATTACTTGGCATTGCTTGAGTTAAAAAATTATTCATTAAAATAAAATAATACAGATAATAATATCAGAGTATTACCACCACTTGCCACAGAAGGATTTAAACATTTTCAGCAAAAACTCGCTTGCTGAAAATTGCAAACGCTCTACCTTCCACAACGACGAAAACATTTTCCGATCACATTTAAACACATTAACAACATACATACATATATAATAACAATACCTACAAATTTTACAAAACAACATTTCAAATCGAATTTAAAATATAACGTGACAAAAAACGAAAAACTTCATTTAAAATTATCAAATTTAAGTCTGAGATTTTTTTTATGATTACCCCTATGAGCTTAAATTAATATATGCTTGGATTGTTAAAGTACAGGTAAAGAAGCATCGTATGCTTATCTTTCTAGAGAGTTTTTCATTGCAAAATTTTGTGATAACGTCATTATCATTTCAGCAAGGACACGTATATCAATTTGAATAGGAGGAATGTAATATTATTAAAAACAGTACTGTAACCTGAAATTTTCAGGAAGATGGGGCAGGCAATAAAACATTTCTCCTCTTTCATTAATTTTTTTAATCACCTTGTATTAGTAATTCCAAAATATATTAAAGTATTATTGATAAACCAAAGTATAGACTTTCAATACTGTGCATATTTTAGATTTATTTGGTAAAATTTTGAGATGACGTCATCAACTTTTTTTTGAGGGTGGATAAATGGATAAATTTTGATTAACAATTTACTATACTTACGGTAACCGTAAAACGTTTGCAAGATTTCAGAGCATTCGGTTTTGCAGTTTCAAAGTTAAATTGCAAAATTTTGATATTTTTTGTAAAAATCTGCATGTCTAGGGTAATACAAACTCAAAGTGGATTTATGAATGACATATACAGGAGTATATTGTTTTATAAAATTTAAATAACATTTATTCGGCAAAATTTTATGATGACGCCGTTTTTACGGGAGTCGTGAACGGATAAATTTTGATTAACGATTTACCATGTTTCCACTAACTTTAAAACGTCTAAAAAATTTCAAAGCTTTCGCTTTTGCAGATTCAAAATGAAATCGCAAAATGGTACCAGTACAAAGGTCACGTCATCATATTGTTGATGGGATGATTAGGTAAAGTTTAGTTAGCGTATTACGAAGTTAGGATCTCCATAGTAAAATTTGACCATGACAATGGAAATGTGAAATAAAAATATGTCAAAACTTTTTATCATTCATTAATAATGGTTCTCAAGCCACTAAGGCATAACTCACGGTTTAGATTAAGAAAAATTCTTAACTTAACCGTATAGACTGATGATTTTTTTACTTCCCGAGTGTAAGCTAAGGAAGAACTGCAGTCAAGTGCACCGGTCGACTGGCCACTTTCATGACCTTTAGAGCAAAACATAGGCCTCCCTTTTCCGTTCGTCTGTCTGTTTGTCGGTTTGTTTGTCCGTCATCTGTGTTAATT